CAGATAGATGAAAATCTACATGATCTGTGCTGTTGAAGCGTTTCACCTAGTAGGTTGCGTACTAGTGTACCCTTCCAGGTTCTGAAGAAGGCGATTCTGCCGAAACCTCGGCTACGAATGTGTTGCATGTGTTTAATTCACACTTTGATCAATACTGGTTGTATATGACTACTGTAATAAAACTTTTCTTTCATCCACTAAGACATAGTGAATTTTTCCAACAATTCGCACCGCTCAGTACGTAAGTTAACACTTTCATGGATTCGAAGGGAATAAGAAACGTTAAAAGCACTCTTAGATTAATTCTTTCTAATTCTGTTCAGCAAACACGGAGGGTAATTTTATTTCTTTATTTACGTACAAGCTGACGTTTCGGTAGATTTCGCCTTCCTCAGAGCCTGGAAAGGTCAAGTTGACAGCAACCTATTCGGCCAAACACCTCCATAAGCAAACAAAGAAAACGCTAAACCAAGATTTCAATCACATTAAACACAGCTTTGCACACTTACCGCTTTCTATGAGTGTTCCACTGAGTATGTCGCGTAAAGACCAACCGCACAGAATTCAAATGGAAGCGTAATGTTCCTCTCCCATCAGAATAACAGTCTTAAATACTGTCCAATATCACGCGTGATAATGAGGCATTCCTCCCTGCGCTTCATTTTCGGATTTCTGGAATTAATCCAGAACGCCTCGAGAGTTTTGTGCGTTCGTGTTCTCGATTCCTGTATGAGGGTCGTTATCCGTACCTCAAAGTCCTTCCCGTTATGTTTCTGGTCTATGCGAGCCTAGCGGAGTATTTGGTTGACGTTTGCCGGCTAGGTGTTCTTTTATGCGGACACAGAAGGGTCTGGCCGTTTCGCCAATGTATTCGTCTCCGCACGCCTTACAGGAGATCAGATAAACTATACCCGACCTAACGTGTTTTCAATTCGTACAGCGTCCTTTCGTGAAGGTTTTCCGATTATCCGACCTCTTTCAGAAGCTTTGAAACGGTTGAGGAGCTACCTCGACATCGTTCCACAAGTTCTCAAAACAGATGGGCATGTATCATTTGCTTAAAGGAAACCTTTCAATTGACCATTTGCTGGAAGACCTTCGCCACTTTCCTAATCTTCGAGGTTGAATTCGTTACGATGAAATTTTTGAAACCAATATTGCATTCTACATTTACCAGAATTTCCTTGCGGCCATAGTCCTTTGATCGCTTGAAACGTTTTCTACGCATTGCGATCGACTCTGCATCTGCAAATGTAAATCCGATAATTTTTTTTGAATTCAAAGACTACAAAAAATTTGAAACTATTCTGTGCGTCCACTGTCAGTCATTATATCAGAGGCGCAGTCGCCATCGTTGGATGTGGAAACCTCTCAGCGGTTTTTTCCTCACACGAGTAGTCATCACGTGCTGTGTGACTCTCAGCACTTTTAGCACTCGATTCATAATTTCCTCGTTTCCACCATCCATGTAGCTCTTCTAATGATGGACATGTCTTTCCTGGAATCATGGTGGGACAACTGCGGTAGAGCATTCACTTATCACCATCACTTCCGCTCGGTAGCCTTCGACGACTCGAAGTACTTCCTAGACAAGTCTAGCACCAATTTCTCGGTTGCTGTGGGATGTGACGATAGTTTCGCTTGGGTGGGATAGGACCAAGGTTCCTCGTATATTGAACAGTATCTCTGTAACTTCCTTACCCGCCTTTTCTGTAAATTGTACCGTAAAGTAGTAAGCTTCGTAATTGTCAATTGAAGGCTTTACCTAACTAATATCATCACTACTCCAAGCGTGAACAAGGAGTTAAATAATTTAGAAAGTTAAACATCATGACCATGAGAAATAAGAAATTGTTTACTCTTCGCTAGGCTTTTGAAAGGAAACGACGATGAGGAATACGACCGACTCATTCGATTGACGCAGAATATTCGTCAGTTACAAGATTAGGATGATCGCATCCAGTTTTACAGAGGGACTTTTACAGTATCTAGAAGCAGAGTGAAGATGGTCATTCGCACCTCTATTTGTACTTCTTTGTGGATCAGATACACTGATTGCCGGAGTCATATTACAGGACTTTCCTTTGAATTTACAAAGAGTAGCCTTACGAAGAGGAACTACAACTTGGTGATTGCTGAGTAATGGCTTCAATACAAGTGATTTGAAGGAGCCACGTGTCTTCCAATCTTTGATTCCTCAGAGTTTTTGCACCAGTATAAAGCGTTTAAATTTCTCGTGTTCTTCGTTTTTTCATCAGTGCCAATCACTTACTTAGCAATGCGTAGTTCTAATCCTTCGGATAACAACACGCTACATAGTGCTCATTATATTTACTCCTGAGCAGTTGCATCAATTATGTTGTTTAATGAAGAACGACACAAACTGGATTCCATATGAGTCATAAAAAACCGTTCGTCGAACTGACAGTAGCAGTGACTGAATGTGGCGAGTGGGAACAAGTCGTAGACAACAACACCGATGATGTGAAATTGACCGATTGAATTAATACTATGACGTAGCCATGGAAATCAGTGGAATTTCACATACGTCGCTACAATGTCAATGCGGGATCGTCAGTGAATACCGTAACTGTTAATGCCGCTTGGCCTGCGATCTCATTCGAATCATGAGAACTTTTCCATTATAGAGTAGGTCTTATTCCGAGTGATCGGAATAAGGGGCAAAAACGCTTTCTCAGTGCTCTATGTTTTCAGAATTGAAAGTGCCATAAGGAGTGAATTTGCTTCGAATTCACTGCTATTTGGAAAGTTTCGCCCAGGTATGCAAAATATCCCTGTAAATGGGCTTGTGTTACTACGTCGTCGTTGAGGGGTTAGATGATATCGGAGATTTTTGTTGTCGTCAGAGGAAACGCTGAGGTTTTGGAATCTTCCGATATCCTGAGTAGCAAATATCCCTCCTACACAAAAGTCCTCAGCAGCATGTGCTGAAGATTAGAGAACGCTCGCTTTTCTGAATTACAGGAAAAATCGCGCTTGGACAACATTCAGCAAATCACTGACGAGAGAGATAGATAGAACTAGCTGAGAGACAGGCGCTATCATCATGGGCACAACGTGAACGTGACTGGAACATTTTTTGGAATACCAAGTAAAGGGCCGAGGAGAAGATAGTTGTGTCACTTGTGCCTCATAGCAGCGTAATGCCAAGTATTGAGCAACTATGAATGAAACGTTGCATACGAAGAATTCAAACTGCTTCNGAGCGTAGCAGAACTGCGGCAACAGTTAGTTGATAATCTTTTCTTTGAGGTATCAGAGAAGAAAACTGGTCAGGTTTGAGGCGAAAGTTGTGAACTTTATTATAGGTATCACATACACTCGATAGTTGTAAGACACGTGAAATAATTAATTAATTAATTAGCACATGGTCACTGTATTTCGTACAAAATTGCTCAGATCACCTCGCTCTACTTCTTCCCAAGAAGGAATCCTAGCAAACCTCCAGTAGCCGCTCCTTTCAAAAGTCTGTCCCAAAACCCTGCAAACAAGTGAGCACAATTGTGCTAAAATACGTACTAGAAACTAGCGTAACTTACCATCTCCTCCAGAAGAGCCTACAAAACCGCCATACGGATAGTAATGTGAGTAATCATAATATGGATAGCCGTATCTGTTGTAGCTGCTGTAGCCTTTGAATTGTGCTTGGGCGATGAGCAACATAAAAAAAGCGAGTTCGAGAACGCCGTTCATCTCTCGAATTCTAACGACCAATGAGTGGCCTCCGGTGTGGTGGGAGCCGATATGACAAACCGGAAGGCGGAGTTTCGTCCACCGAAAAGAGAAGGAGTTGATGTAACGTACAATTTTTTACCACAGAAGTTTTAAACTGATCAAATTTCGAGAGCAGCTGAAAACCCGCACCTAAGGTTTCGTCATACGAAAGAAAAGTTGTTTCAAGAATTAATTCTTTTTAACCATTATCTCTTCATATCTCAACTCCTCGCCTGTAGAGTTCTCGATTCCGTTAACAACGCATGTCCACCGGAGACCAAGAACAAGTTGAAACGACGAAATCGCCAGCGATACAAAGCGTCTTTTTGTAAGATAGTAAGCGTGTGCTGAGCAACGACCTCGGTATTGCTGAAGATAACAATTGGTGGGCTCTCAACAATCCACATGTCGTAAATAAGTTTTTGCTCCACCATTCTGTAAGAATGAAGTTGCTGCTCGAAGGTGTATTTTTCACTTTAACTCCATCTAAAATTTAAACCTCTATACAAGCAGTTCTTATTGCCGTCGAACGAACAGTTGGCTTTTTTGTTGGCTAATATTCCCATCGTTTTTCTTCCATTTGATAAAGTGCTTTATGAGCTGAGACATTCTTGTTTAGAAGCAGATTACCTTCGAGCACGCATGTTTTGAGGGCATTAAAGATCAGTCAATAGGTTTAGAACAGCAGCATTAATGAATTGGCGGAATTTTCTGTAGTTTTATCCGAGAAATCAGAGATTTTTCTGATTGAGGAGTATTCCAAGATCAAGGTGTAACGCGCCCTTTGTGAGGTTATTGTAATTTTGAACTTCATCCTTCGGTTTCTTCTCCTTCTTTCCTTTACGTCTTCCTCAGACTCTTCTATCGTGATATCGCAATCTTCAGTACATATAATCAATGTCCTTGTTTATCTTTCAGATCAACGTTGTTGGTGAAGAAATCAATATGGTGACATTAAGCCATATCTGCCACGATGGCTTCAAGTTGGACTCGATCGACTGCTCATCGGAAATGACACCGAAAAAACTTGATAAAAGGAATAACGTGGAGTCTTGTTTTTTCTGCCGAAGGAAATTAAAAAAGCGAATCGGAGAGGAAGACGAACCTGTTGACCAGGATATCTGCGGTGAGCGCGCATGCAAAGTAATCCCTCACAGCTTATTTCTTCTCTATAAAAATAGGCTAGCACCCTTGAGTTTTGTGAGTTATATGTGGCCCGCTTCTGGGAGCTGGTCATTAGCGGAACGAAAAGATGTACTGTACGTCATAGAATGTAACAATTGTTGACTGGGATTCATCGGCCTCTGGCTTAAGGTGGACATTTGTGGATTACGACAGCTAATTGGTCATTGAAGTGTGAATCCTGCTCTTTAACAGCAGACTGTTTCAGTGCCTGGCACGAGCAGGAGAAAATTTTTAGGTGCTTTGGAGAACCCCTACTTTGCCGACAGCGCAAATTGAGCCAGACAGAACAAATTGTAAAGGATCAAGCTATTAATCAACCTTATTAACATGAACTGTAGAACGAAATTCGAGAGAGAGAGAGAGAGAGTGTAGTTCAGAAGTGGAGCAGACTGGAAGGACCGGCTTCGTAGAGATTATTTGTTGGAGTGAAGAATTACAGCTTCTGTGCAAATATTATTGCTATAGTAACTATTGCCAGAATAGTTGCTATTCTTTCATCATATCATAGGTTTGTGGTAACCACATTCGTGGTCCCTCACATCGCTTTGCGATCTTGCTGCATATAAATGCATATAAGTGCATCAAGTCGAGTCCACTGGAGGGAGCACCGCTTTAATGAGGAGGTTCGCTCTGTTGTTTCCTTCTACACAAGACGGATGTAGATCTCTTGCCTCCACCCAATATTATGTGCTGATAATTCGTTGTGTAGCAGTTGGCACTTCTTTGTTAATGTTAAAAGGTTTATGTTGTTCAGGGGACACACAATGACACGTTCCGCCAACGTGCTTCCGTCTTCTCGAATGTGTCCACTGCTTGGCCGACGAAAAACTGGAGAGCCAGAGCCGTACGAGAGGAAACTTGATATTCAGAGGAATTGGAATCGCTAATAAAATCAGCACGTACATCTCCAGGTAAGCTTTTCTGATGTGAAGCTGTTCCAAGTGCTCCCATTTAGCCTACTGTAGTCAGGTCAACTGCTGCATGACCGCAAGTATTAGGAGACTGTGATCAACCAGCGTTCCCATGTGCTTCGGCCACTCAGTTCGCTACTGAAAACTGCTTCATGGATGAGGTAGGTGGTTGATTGAACTTCATCAGTTGTGAAATTCTTTTTCTCCATACTAAGCATTGCGTTAGAGTCTACTAAGTGACGAGTGGATTCGACTGTAGCATTCATTTTATGCGTTTTTTATGAAATGCTTTTAATTACGAAGGTCCCATATGTAGTTTCTTTGTAATCCAATTAATGCAAAAGTTTACAAAGCAAACGCCCTTCAAAATTTTGAAATCGGCTGGGTTATATTCATATGCGCTTTAACTTTTTATTTATTGCGTAATCTTTTTTCATGTAGTGTATGATGTTATTGTAGAACCGCTAGGATGGTGAGCTAGAAAAATTGATGGTTGCTGATGGCATCGATTGAGCAAAAACACGGTCTGAGGAAAGGCAAAGCAAGGGTCTCGTTTAGTGTCAGAGATAGCACGCGAGACCTTGGCAAGTGTAACCCTATGTTCGGAAACGCAGCCTATGTTCCTAGTTTTGCTCATATATCAGCACACCTGTGGTCATAGTTTACATCGTGCCCTACAATGACAAATTAATAGGCTGCTGTCCACACATAGTTTTTGAACGGAACCAAATAATCCAATGAACTTCGAGTAGCGGTGTTAGGTGGCTGTCAGAGATAGGATATAATGACAAATGGTTGTTGGTGTTGCCAACGAAAGATTAAAGGTGACTATTAAAGGTTGTAGAAATAAATCTAAATGCAAAGAAAACTATAGAGAGCGGTGCGCGTGTAGCGCAGTGGTTGGAGGCTCCCTACAATACACTTGAGGTCGATCCCTGCACTTCCGGCTCATCAAGCCTTCCATCCCTGCAGGGTCGGCAGATTGGTAGCAGGCTTGCCTGAGAGGGTATCAGTACTGTCTCGAGCAGCACTGGCTCTATACATCGCTAGACCACCGCGAGTCGTTATAAAGGCCAGATATGCATCCAATAACCTCCAGCGATACTTAATGAGGTCCAGTGCATGGCGCATCCCTCAAAGGCTAATCAACGACGAGAGCTTTATCCTCTCATTCCTTTTATTAAAAAATGCTTCTTCCGGTTTAAAGTGTCAAAAATACACGGTGCTCACCAAAGATATGGGATTCTGTTTACTGTGTGGATCAAGGCTCTGTAAATGTAGCGATACGTTTGTACTTTCTACATTCTCCTACATGCGCTTCAGAATACAGTTTTGTGTCTGTTAGCTGTTCTGCCCTTAAAAATATTAAATTTTAGCTTTATCGTTTGCAGGAAAACGGTAGCTACCCAATAACTATAAACCAAACAGCGAAGTCGGTTGGACGCTCTCAGGCTTCCAGATTCCGGCATGCGAACAAATATTGGGTACTCTAAAAAATAGTTTGAGATTTTCACGTCTCTTACACGATCTGTCTCTACCTTCACTGTTTTGATTCCGATACTTCTTCCATTCTATTTTTTTCTCGATTCTATAGGCCATGGAGGTTTTGCTCTTTCTGTGTGGTTCCTGCAGCTGCTCGAGGATTTTTAGCCTTTTTGAGAATGCCATTGTGTTGATTATCTCCAGAACACTCCTATAGCCATATTAGAACGTTGCAGCGCGGATGAAGGAAATAGGCTAATTTCAAATAGGTTTTGCATCATTTTTCCGACCTCAAACCAATGGAGAGCTTGGTCAGCCTCTGATGCGATTAGACCATGGCCTAGCGTGAATTGGACGGCATCACTTGTACTGCGCTACATGCGCTGCGCTTATTTCTGCATTGTACTTCAAATATCTCAATTCTTGCCTGTACTTTTCGTAATTCTGTTAATCATCAAATAATTTAGGCTTATAGTAGCGAATTATTCCTTCATCATCGCCGTGGGTTAGTGCTGCTTAGAGGGGCCGGTTGTCTAACGAGCACGAAGTGTCGCGCTTTTTATAGGAGGCTCCTCTGTTTTTTCGTGTTTTTAGCTGTGTAGTTAAGGATGCTTGCTTTTCTTCGTATAGGCTTACTCTTAGATTGGCTTATAGATTGAAATGTCAAATTACTTTCGTGCTTCGACCAGATGACCAGATGACCATATGAACCCTCCACTACACATCGTTGGGGTGTGACACTTAGAAAATCCTGCAAACTCTATGACGCCGTGAAACACTGAAAGAAAGAGTTTTAACTCGCATGTGAATTTTGTTAATTGGAGTAAAGACCGCTCAAATACATACATCTCTTCTGACAACTGTAAGATATGTTCGCTTTGTTTTTCGGGAAGATTTGTATTCGCATAAAAATTACTGCAAACTCATTTTTAGAACTTTCGTTCGAACAATTGAACAAAAAATTACATACATGCAAGTACGTTAACATGAACGTACCAAAGTTTCAGCTTTAGAATTCTAAAGGATAAGGGGACAAAGCTCTCAGCGTTGATCAGTCGCTGAGGTATGCGCCCCGCATTCGACTTCATTAAGCATCGTTTAGAGGTGATTGGGTGCATTTCTGGCCTTTGCAATGACTCATGGGGTCCTACCTGTGTATCGAGCCTGTGTTGCTGCTTTCCCAGACAAGTTTGGCACCAATTTGCTGACCCCGGAGGGATGCAGGGCGTGGTGGGCCATGGGCGCGGAATCAATTCCACGTGGGTGTTGCAGGGCTCCTCCGACCACTGCGCCACAACCGCTTTTTGGATATTATATGTGATAATACGAGCAGAGAACCTTAAAAGTTTTCGTGAAACCACAGTGTCATATACAAGCTGCATCAATTTCTGGTTTACACAT